TTTGGACAGCAAGCGACCCAGCAGCCAAGTTTTGGCTCTGGTACCCCCAGTGCTGGTGAGTGCCGACCATCCTCTTCCCTTTTGGTCTCAAAGATTGTGTATTTTACTTTATTTTTCATGAAGCGCACCTTAAATTATACAGAGAAAGACGACTTCTGCCTTGCGCACGTATTTAAGAATAATCCTCCATAAAAATAATGGCTACAGAGTTAAGTCATTTGTGTCTCACGCCTGCCTCTGGAGGATGTGCCGCAGGTGTATGCCAGCCTCACAGTGAGCCGCCTCCACAGGACCCTTAGCAGGCACGGAGCTTGCAACCCTACCGCTAAACGTTGGGGTTTATTTGCTTGAGAAATCTAGCGATTGAAAGGAACTGTTGAAAACCGTGGAGCGCTCGCTGGCGAGATTGTACAAACCAGAATGGCAGAAGCACTGCAAAATTACTATTTGTGGATTTGTTAGAGTAGTTCTTCGTTATCTGACTTCGTTAACAGGCTTCGGCAGTTTATTTGGATCGGGGGCTTTGTTGTGCGAGAATATGGTCAGAATTATTTTTAAGCATTTATGGGTTAAGACTTTATTTAAAGTTCTCTTTACTAATGAAGTATAAAATACCGTGGGAAGGGGGCAGAGAATGATCCTTATCATTTAAGTGTAAGGAGACCTGTTCCACGCTAGTAGTTAATTACTAAAAAAGACCACCACACTGCCAGAACGTATGTATTTGGTATCATCGTGTCAAATAGTTTAAGGGGAAAGCCTCCTTTTTTCCTCTCAGAAGTTTTACAAAATAGCCTCCGTTAAAAGTAACTGACATTTTTGTACTAATCAGTAGATTAATTGGCACACCACGTTACCCAGTCAGTCCTTCATTAATCAGGTAGCAGTTTAAAGAAAAATCTCCCTGGATTGTCTGTGTTGCTTATCAATTACTTTGATGGTAGGAATTCTTTTTTTTTTTTTTAAGATGAGGTGCTGTGTTAGCATGTTAAATGAAAGAGAGTCCCCAGATCGACTGCATGAGCACCGGAAAGTTTACTTAAATGTAAATCTACATGATTCAGTACTAAAATTTAAGACTTCGTTAATATAAACTTCAGTATGCGCAGGTATAAACGTAATGGCGGTACAGAAGTTAGCAAACACTTCATTATCGCTGTGCCAGCAGTGCTACTTCAAGAATCCCTTTATGATTCTCTACTGAAGTGAATGAATTCTTCTATGCACCGTTCCTGTGGTAATCTGGCACTTTTGGTGCACCCCCCTCCCCCAACTTTGCCATCTCACGCAACCTGTAAAAAAAAAAAATTCATTGAAGATGGTAGCGTGAAGAACATGAGGATTTTGCTGGACAGGATGAACTCAGTTTCAACTGTCTCACTCCTTTCTGCTTCCACCCCGTCTTCCCAGGTTCTGTATTCCAGTTTGGAAGTAGTACTTCTAATTTCAACTTTGCAAATAACCCCGGAGTATTTACTTTTGGTGCAAATCCTCCCACAGCAGCAGCAGCAGCAGCGGCACAGCCTTCCGGCTCGTCAGGATTTTCGTTCAGCCAGCCTCCAGCATTTACAGTGGGGTAAGAGACCGTATCCGAATTTCACTCGAGCTTCGGGTAGTATCGGTGGACAGTGCTCAGTCTCTGCTGCTGTTAAATCGCGAGGCGTTCAGGTGAACCTTGGGGTTTGAAACTCAGTTGGGCACCCTGCCTCGTATTAGCCTGACCGGCTAACTAAGCGACGGTATCTTTAAAGGAGCCTAGCTGTCAGAAATATCACACATCAACGTATGTGAGATTGTCTTGTTCTTGAAAGGTAAAATCCGTGCCTAGCCGTTACGCTGCTACTTACCTTCTGAATAAGAGAGCTGTAATTGCTTTCGGTTTCTGGAAGTCTCTTCCTCCTGCTCATCCGCAGCCATTCGTTGCCAGCTGCTAACTAGTGAGACAAGACTATGAAAGAGTTGTTCTGGAATTATCTACTCAGTGCTGCTACTGAATTTTCAGCTACGCTGTCCTAAACTCTGAACCACTGATTTCTTTTGATAGGACTAATGGGAAAAATGTTTTCTCTGCCTCTGGATCTTCAGTTTCTGGTCGGAAGATAAAGACTGCAGTTAGACGTAGAAAATAACCGCCTGATGGGTAAAGCAACTTTTGAAGCAGCTACTACCCCGCATTGTTCAGTTGTTGGGATCGTACCTCACGCTGGGTTAGCTGACGTCAGATCTGCCTAAAGGAACATAAAACTCCGCTGCCCTTTCCTTCCCTTCCTTTCCCTTCCCTTCCCTTCCCTCTCCCGGGTTAGATTTTTCTGGTAATAAATAGAGTTGGCAAGAGGGCCGTTCTCGAGCAAAACTATTTTAGACTCCAGCAAGTTACTTCTTTCACTGACTCGGCATGGTCTGGCTGTAGCCGTGAGTAGAGCCTGCACAGTGAATGGCTTGTACAATACCTCTTCATCTGCACCACTATGTGCGCGCTCATCTGCGTTTACTGACGCCTCGAAATTGTAATTATATCAGCGAGGGATGCTGTATAGAGTAGAGAATGTTGATAACGAATGATTTCTATGCTGAGTTTGTGCTGGTGTATGTGTGAAGTGAGTGAGTTTGGGTGTATCGTGCACTAAAATTTTCTGATAGAGGAAGACTGATTAAAGGATGATCCATGCTAAGGACTTGTTAGATCTGTAGTTCTTCATTTAATAATTATATGCTATTTCTATATTTTCATTCTTACAGCCCTTTATCACGTGTCTCGCCTTTGTTATTTTATTATGAAACGTGTAAATACAATTTTGTTTCTCTATGTACTTTTTTGGCATAACAAATCTGTGAAATTGAAATTTTAATTTTGTGTGTTACGGCCATTTTCGTTTAGTATTGTCTCAGATTTTATGTAAATCCCATTATTCAAAGTTGCCTAAATCCATTTAGAAAATCTTTAAAATTGGGAATTCTTAAAGTAAGTTTATTGGCTTTTCTGATCCATTTTTGTTTGGACCAAAAACCAGTATTGTACAAAGTATTAAGTATATATTTTTATATTTACTGAAATGGACTGTGGTGACTTTGGATAATAAGGAAAAGTTTAATATTAAAGCCATGTTTATTACAGTATAATTAACATGTTAAACCATGGGATAAATGCCATCAATAAAAACTATGAAATACTGCCTGGCAGTTTTAACTCTCTGTGAAGGCATCTACCACTGTAACCGTACAAGGTGATGCACTCAGCCTGAGTGATGTCACATGCTTCTCGACAGCAACACCAACGCTGATTTTAGAGGATCTTTAATCAGCTAGAGGCTCCCTGTTAGGAAGGGGAGTTTCACTGTAGACTTAAGCTCAGAGCCGTATGTCGGTGTGTCAGCTGTCTAGCTGCAGCGGTTGCAAGTTAGTTTTTACAGAGCTATTAAAAAAAAAAAGCTAATGTTACAAACATTCACCACTGTTCTGACTGAAGAGCAAAAAGTACACCCGATGGGGCTCTTCCCACTTCCATAGCAGAAGACATCTCTTCTTAGAGAAGAGACATTATTCTAGTAAAATGAGAGGAAACACTTGTTCGTTTGTTTGGGGACCACAGCTGAACTTTTACGAAGCCACAGCAGTCAGTTTTTGGTTGAGATCTGCCTGCTTGCTACAAGTAGAACTGAAGAGATCCACCTGAGCTGCACAAGCTTTAGCTGTCTTCAGCTGCGTCGCTGGGGTTTTTCGCTAGCGCTTCTGCCACTCACCCCAGTGCTGCTCAGCACTTGCACAACTGCAGGTGCCAGCGTTACGCAATGAGATACGTTTCTAACCGCAAACTAGACTTGACAGGAGGACAAAGGCTAACTTTTGTTTTCGTGGGAGTTTTACATGGGTAGAGCTCCAATCGCTCCTTCTATAAATAGAAAATATTCAGCAACTAGACTTTAAAAGCACGCACACACACACACACAAGCTGCTATTCAGACAGTCACATCCTGCCCCTGTAGCTGTGGAGGGATTATATGCAGTTATGTATTTCCAGATGTCTAAATCTGAAAAATGCCACAAATTACACTTCTTTTCCTTAGCTCTGTCACCTGCCAAGCACTCATCCTACAAACAGAAAAAAGCTGCAGCTTCAGTGCAACTTGCGCAGGAGACAAACTAAAAGCTAGTGTTCACAACAGCAGAATGTACACTTACTTCCATGGACGGGCTCCGTTTTTTCCGTTGTCATTTTTTTTCTTTACCTGCTGTGGAAGGGGTGGTATTTTTTCTACAGAGTAAGAGATACTTTCCCTTAAACCTGAAGTGGTAGCAATAAAGTTTGAGTCAAAGGTGTTGCTCTTCCCTTCCTCCCCCCTATCTAGAATCCTAGTTTCTAGGTCACTGCTACGGTAAACAGAACAAAGTTCTTCTTGTATTCCTACTGAAATTGTAAATAGGCACCGCTCACCCTAGGAGGGACTTGAGTTAGTTCTGACAGCTTTAGCTTCTGTCAGGCTGGTTGCCGTGCCTGGACTTTTAACTTTGACGCTTAAGTCGACAGTGCAATTCTTCGAAAGAGCAGGTAAGCGATACCTCTGAAGTTCTCTTTCAGCTAAACATCTTCAAGTGGCCCAACAACCTCGAAAGGGTGCTTTGTTCAGACCTCCCAAACATCATTGCAAATGAAGATCAGAACACATACCCCCGACATTATGTTAATAAACAGAACACCGCTTGTCAAACTAAGAGATTGCAGGATATTGGCACGCGACTGATTTAAGTTATTTCACCTGAAGACGAGAGAGAGAACCGAGCTCTCCAACACGTCTACCACCAACCTCCAAAACTGAAGGTAGGGTAAGAACTTCAGCCAGGGAGTGGCACAGTTACGCCTAAGGGAAGAACACACAAAAACTGGGCTCTAGAAGAATTTCAAACTCTTATTCAACTTTTAATAAAACATTAACATTGTTGCTTATATTCCTTTCCCAAGATACTAATAACATGAGAATAGACAAATTATGAAAGCTATGTAATCATGCAAAATATTAGGCTTCTTTATTCAGTATTTAAGTTATTCTGAATATACAAACAATTAGCCAGAATTATAAAGTGAAAATAACCAGTATTTGTACTTCCGTAGATTTACACCCGTAACACATTTCAGTTAATGTTTTCTGCATGCTCCTGAAACACATCCAGTTGTTTTGCTTGGTATTACGCGCAAGAAAGAGACAAGTGCTTTCACTCCAAACAGAAGCAAAAAAGTTACCTTTCATTAGCACGATCTGTACTGTTCACAGCTCCAAAATTATTTACACACGCCAATTCACTAACACTGCAGTGTAACATACCCTTCCCAGAGAAAAAGCAGCTATTATTTCACCTCTTCCTTAGCTTTGACGTGAAGTAAGTGGCGATGCTTAAGACGGTCATGCAAAAAACTTCTCACAACCACGTTCTGCTAAAATACTTAAAGAGGTGAGGGAATATGATCTGTGAAGCAATAATACGGGACATGATAAACTGCTCATCTCTTTCTACACACATGGCGATTTAATTAACGCGATTTGCCTTACTGTCTAATACAGCAGTTCTCTTCCCCTCAGAGTTTATCATACGACTTAGGCAACTGCTCGGAAAACAACTTGATTTTCTAGTTACCTGCCAACATCCAAAACTGTAGGAGCGACATTTCTTTTAAGGTGGAGTATTTCTAGGTATCTGCTTTCCGCAGACTGACAAATGGACAGCTCCTTTCTGCAGTTAATACAGCCGCTTTCTTTCTCGTCAATCGGAGGTTAATACTTCCGGATTTAGTATGTATCGGTTCTCCCAAACTTCTTTGGCATCTATGAAAACTCCAATACTTTGAAGGTAGCTGCTGGCATCATACCGGAGTAAAACATTTTCTTCAGCTTCTGAATCGGTTCCCGCTTCATTTGGGCAAAAGATTCTGATGGACACCTCAATTTCAGTTTTGGGGTAGGTCTTTGTTCACTGGGGGTGGGAGGGGATGTTCAAAACCAGTCTGGAAATCTCATCTTTTGGTATCATCTGACTCCGTTTCTTCTTACCACAATAGTCCCCGCTACAATATCATAGGCTGTTCTGTTATGCTGGAAAAACAGCAGTGTAATGAATGCAGGAAAAAATGAAGCAATAGAAAAATTCTTGATCAAAGCTCGTATTGTGGACCTGAAATGAGAATAAAACATTCAGTGCCTTACTTTCACTTTTCTGCTCATGAAAGTAAACTACCTATTAATAAATAAGTTTAGCGCCTCGTTTTGCACAGCACCAGAAAAAAACCCAAGCAAAAAAACCCCCCGGTCTCCAGAGTTCAGAGGAGATGATTGTATCAGCTAACCTGAAAAATATTCACAATTGAGTAATGGCTGTTTTATGCTTAGATAACAGAATCTACCAATAGCTCTTGCAATCTAATTATTGCAAAGGTCACTAATAAAGAAATGGCGTGTTTCCTTCCAAACCACATGCTTGCCACACTATTAACCTGAAAGCAACGTGACTGAGCTAAGAGCACTTACGTTGTCATACTGACATTAGAAGATGGAATGACTAACACGCGGCTGGGCGCAATAAGTACAGATGTATCGCATGTCACAACTCGCAGTCCAAGCAAGAATTTCCCCGGGGTTGCTCCACCTGCTCCCCAAATACAGATTATCTGTAAAAGAAAAGTTACTTCAATTCCACGCGACACTGCGTTGTCGACTGGTCTAGCAAACCTGGTTTTCATCAAAACTACGTGAATGTCATTCGCTTCAACATAATCCCAAATACTGTAAAGAGGCTTTACTTTATAGGCCAATGGTGATAGAATTTTTTCCCAACATTTATTCAACAACTGACAATATTAATTAGAGAAGTTAATGTTTATGAGTAGTTACCTCATAGAAGCAGACTAATAACCTGTAGATGAGAGCTACTATCATCATTTTCTGCAAATCTTCCATGGACGTATCTTCATCTATTTCTTCTATTATGTAATGCATGGCAAATTTAGAGATGTCCCTGTACAAAATAAGACTGAACTTTAACACCATCTTTCTCCCAATACCAGTGTTACCCCTTTATTACCAGAATTCACTCCTTCAGTTCCAGTATTAGTAAAAGAACAAAGGCTCCTTGGCTTCTCTGATACTAAGCAAGCCGTTAAAATTCAGAACGCTAGGTTTCCTTCTGAGTTGCTGCCTGGTTTGTTTTGTCTTTTTCATTAAGAAAAGATCATTCTTTATTGCCGCTTTTGCACAATGGCGTCCCTGGGTAGCAAGCTGCAGAACTGTTCCGAAAACTCTCACACTTCTTGCGAGATAAATGAGAGTCTGTGTGTCATCGTCTAACTCTAGAAATGCAAGGCGTCCAAGTCTCTTCCTTACAGGAACTCTCAAGGAAAAAGGAAGGCAGGCACTCTTCTCTATAAATGCAAGGGAGAAGTTGCAGGTCTCCCTAAGCAAGCAAGGGAGACCTATCCTCCCTTGCGTGATCAGGGTTCCCCATTCTCAGTAGCCTTTACTGCTCACCATACTCTTCTAGAGGCAGACACCTTGGAATGCAAGAGGAAGTTTTTAACTTGAAGCAACTGAAACCTTCAGTTGTTTAGCCTAACAAAGTTACACAAAGCATCAATTTGGAGTCAATTGCGTATTTTCACAAGATAAGAATGTTAAATCTGGATAGAGTTTATGTGGTAACTGGAATGGACACACCTGCAGCATGTATTTGGGCAAGGATTTTTCACCCACGCATCTGAGAATTGCTACTCATGCAGAAATGTGCAGTCCCACTTCAAAACAGTCCATCTGTATTTGTACTACTTGCCTTCCTCTTTATTCAGACTTAAGGATCGAAAAAGATAAGGAATTATGAAAATAGTGTGGCACAACCTGCATTTCCCTTCAATACAACCTCGGCCTGAAGTCTCTGTCTTGAGCCTGCGAGGACATATTTTTTTCATGACAGCTCCTCAGCCTAACCCCAAGAACACCACATCTCACAAGCAAAAAAAAAAAAAAAAAAAAAAAATCCAGAATGCAGCTCTGAAGTTACTCATAAGCAACTTATTGGCTCTTGCAAAAGTAGTAATATTGAATATACTGTAAATTAATTGAAAAAGATTCCCTCTCCTTCTATCACCTTCACTACTTTACAGAAGCAATATACATATGCTTGTTCCTCATCTTTCCAGTACTTAATTTTGTATCATTCTCAGCCTACTAAAAACAAGAGGGAAATGCAAGCTGTCAGGTTAGAGTTGGAGGTTTGAAGTTTGGCATTTTAACTGCATGCTTATCTGAACAAAAACCACTGATCATTTACATTGACGTATTTATTGTTTTGCATTTGACACTCTTCCACACACCCTTCAAGCAGCAGTTTAAGGTGTCTGAAAGATGTTATCTGTATAGTATCATTTTGCAGTCAGTCGACATTTGAGAGGTTCTTTAGTAGAAAACTTGGATTCCGAAATGTGTTTGTACAGTAATGCAATTACTGACTACACCAAGCTCTCATCTCCTAATCAGACTGAAATATTTGATTACACCAACCCGAAGCAGAGGAACTAAATGAGCTACGGAATAATATATCTCCAGTTAAAGAAGCAGATAACAAAGAAACAGTCTTTGAAGTAAACGATTACACCTGAGTATAAGAATGTGAAATGAAGAGTCTTTCAGTCTAGTGTACAGTTGATACACACAATGGCTTAATCATACTTTTATAGAAACCCAACTTATGCCCAGTAAAGACTGCAGCACGGTAGCACTCCTAGCAATTGGCTGTATTTTAAAAGCACGTACATATCGGACATGCAGGATCTGAATTTTTTTTTTTTGTGGGTTAGCATTGTTTTGGTCACAAATCTAAAACACAGCACCACAGGAGATGCTATGAAGAAAATTAACTCCATCCCAGCCAGATCCAGTACATTTTTAAAGGCTGTTTAAAAAACAAATTTATTTGTCAATGTTTCTTCTTTGAAATTTTTAGAGGACTTTTTAAAAATCTTGCTATTGCCTCCCAAAAATAAGACTGCAAGTCTAATCTATCCTTAGCAAGGAGTTTGTGAGCCTACGAAGACACCTGTACAAATTCTTTGTTTCCATCAGCTGACCCAAAATCAGAAAGTGTTTAAAAGGAGGTTAACCTAGTGGTGCTTTTTCCTCAACTTTTGACGGTTACTAAGCGCCATCATATGCATAAGCATACCATATATATGTCGTGACACCTCAAAGAGCATGAAGAGCTTAAAGCTGTATATAATAAAGCTTTAAATTGTTCAACTTACTTTATTCCACTGAGGTGCATAATACTTAAAACAATGGTTGCCTTTATAAAGAACAGAATAAAAAAATCCACCATCTCCGCTATGAACCTGTGTGCCAGCGAAGGAATAATGAACTCCCGACCTGTAACAGAAATAGTTAAGATTACCCAGATTTGACTGCACTAACACAAAGTTAACACTATCATCTAAAGAAAGTTTCACATTAAGCTCACTGCAAGAACATTATCAAGATCTTGATCTCAGCTCACATCATCTTCGAGAAAGCCTCTAAAAGTGTATTAATAAAAAATGATCTGAATTGTTTAAACTGATTTGTAAGAACCTTCTTAAATTAAATCAAACTCTTTCAGAACCCTGAGCCCCCTCATAATTAGGATTACAGGCAAAATCCCACCCCGCTAAAGAACCAAAGTACATTGAAGATGCATCGATTTTTGTGTTCTTTTGTTTAGAACAGCTTCATAGAGACAGATCTCAGTAAATCTGAGAGTTCAGATAAAAGGAAAATTAGATCTTAGATCTACCACAACTTTTCTATCACTCAGCAGCAAGGCTTCCATATGTACCAAGCACCAGCTCTAAAAGTAAAAACATAGCCTATTTTGTCTCAAGTCACACCCAGAAACAGAAGCGGATGACAATACTAGTCCTACCTGGCATAAACGTTCCTCCAGACGTCTTATTATAATAAAACACAGCACACTGCCCTACCAGGAGCCAGAAAATGTAACACATTTCTCCTATTTATTGGCCAAGTGCAAATGGGGGCAAAATAAGTAGTCATAGTTACAAGCTTGTGTTGCTAATGCTACCTCAGATGATTAAAGCAAAGCAAATATTAACGAGTATCTTAGAAAGCTTTAAAGGAATAGTGTTGCAAAATAATTTCATCTGAACTCATCTAACCCTCTGTATTTCCCAAACAAACACAACTACTCACTTGAAACCAGAAAGGACTCGCATCAAAACTCGCATTTAGAAATACCCAAGTACTACTAGATGTAACTTCTGGAAAATAGTGACTGCGTTTGTGTTTCTGAGAATGCCAACCCCCACACGCAGGGAAAGGAGAAAAGGAAAGGGGAAAGAGAATCATTCCTCTCTCCAATCTCAAAAAATATCATCAAATTTCACTTGAATAAGGCTCCACAGTTCAACTGCCGAGACTGATACTGCCAGTCCTGGCCTCACAAGCTATGCAAGCGAAGCTGAAAGCCCCTGGCACTTGGGCAGTTTTTAAATGGGCTAAGTAAAATCAAGCAGTGATTAGGTAAGAGCAAGTTATTGTTTAACATACCTGAGTTTAAGTATCTTTATTTCATACCTGTTTCACTGATAACTCTGCATCGATACTATCAATTAGCATGACTTACATAAATAATACTAAAATGGATTCAATTCTCATTGTCAAAGTATGTCCAAGTTGTCAACTAAATTCTAATTAAAGATTCTTCAACTAAGGCAGAAGGGAGCGTAGCCAGTCTCCCCAGTCCTGGCTTGAGCATACAGCGCCAGATAAAAGCGTTCCTTCGCTCTGTTAAAAGGAACACATTCACTGAAGTTAGTGGCACAGTTTCATTTGAATATATTAGACTCAACAACTGAATATGGAGGAAGCTAAGTGGGGCTAAGAAAATAGGTATTCAAATTATGTTAAACATTACATTAAGAAACCTTGGCAACCCTTAGACTCTGGCAGATTTCCACTGCAGTGATTTGAGATGTTCTTCGTACCAGAAATCCACTATTTTGCCAGGGGTTACTATTTGTATGGCAGGGACAGCCAAATGCAACGCGCATCCATCTCAGCTCAAAGTCTAGGATCTTACGTTAAGCTAGTAATAAAGATGGGTTTGCACTAGTCAGCCAGGCAGAGCAGCTGAGGCTTGGACACACTTTTGGCTCTACTGTTCCCAGCAGAAGAGCAGTAATCTCTTGCAGTAAGGCAGGGAGGGGCAAGGGGAGGAAGCGTCTTAAATCATGATGACCATCCACAAAAAGCCTGCTACTGCCCAGAGTGCTGCTAATATTGGTGCTCTGACACACCTGCAGGCAGATTGAACTGGAAGAGGCAGTTACCAGTTCCACTTTTTGACATCCCAGTTTAAAATCCGCAATATTAACATAAGCTGTCACTTATTTCAGCTTACATAAGCACATCGGGCTGTAAACTGCAGTGGCGTAGGGACAGATACATGACCCGCCCTGCCAAGCCTGCTGTGCGGCCAATAATCTGCAGCAGAAAAGAAGGAGCCGTAATCGCTTTAGCTGTTCCAAATACATCCACTTGTAATCTGGAGCCAAAGCACCAGCACAATGGTCTTTGTTTATAATTGTATCATATCACTATATCACATACTGAGTTCCACTAAGGCGGCCAGCTGTTGCAACAGTATCGAGCATTCAGAATAACCACGTTGAGCAGCATCAAGTGCTATTTGTGCCGTAAACTACCTTTAACGTATAGAATTAGTTCCTGAAGAACTAGGTAAAAATCCAAGAATCATTTCAGCCTAGCCTTTGTCCACATCCTCTTTTTCAATGACCAGCAATATCTGTTTATAAGCAATCTATAACTCAGAATCAGGACACAATTAAAGAAAACACTACGTTGTGCTACAACCTTGTTTAAACAATATCTGCTCAAAACCACAAAAAGCAGCGAGTTCAGAAGCTAGATCCCCTTCCCTTCAAAAGAAAGAAAAAGCAACTAAAAACGTTCTCCCCTCACATCCAGCCACTAAGCTTATAAATAATGTTACAGATCAGTAATGCTGTACTTTGCCCCGCAGAATGAAAGGAGATCTGGCTTTTCTCCAAAGTCCTTTCGCAGTGTTCTGCTCCGCAGTTTTCTACCATTACTCGAGGTGCTACCAAACATTCCCTGAATGTCACCTAGTCACTCCTCAACTTGTTAAGAAATGTTTGTGTGCTCCAGGTTTTCTCTCTGATGGGATCAGAGCAAGTTTGTCTTACTCTCGAACAAATATAAACAGAAGCACTGCTATGGGGTGTCTTCAATATTTACAGCTGTAACAGACTTTTGTTTGTTTCTCTCAGGTCCTGCTGCTAGCTTGTTGAATGTAAGCATGTTTTTACTTCCCTGCTTCAATTTCATTACATGATTTTATTTGAGCACCAAGAGCCCACTAAAATTGATAAAGTCAGCTTAGATTTCATAACCCAAACAGGCTACTTATAAAGCTAGATGCATTACAAGCCTGTGACCACAAGAGTAAGTTTCACTGGAAAAAATAAACTCCTTCATATCCACGAAGACATCTTACAAGCACCGGAGTTATAAACTGTACACGCAAGCCAACCCTCCCAATCCTTGGTACGGATTAAGTTCTGGATTTACAAACTCGGTATTTGGGGCTGTCACCTTTTACAAGGCACGGGTACACGCCCGGGTCTGCAGCCCACAGAAGCGCAGCGACCCCCAACGTTGCAAAACCCCCAGCTTCCTTCTCGAGATACCGTTTCCTACAACTGCGGCGGAAGGGCCCGCGGAGACCGAAGGCGCTGCGGACAGCGAGCCAGCGGCACTGGCGGGGGCGACGCCTCC